GATATTGTCTTTCCATAGATTCACTCGCTCTTTTCTCTACAAGCGATGTGGAAAATATCATGATATTACTTCAAATAATGTCTAGAATGATATCACATCCAAACATTTCAAAACGACAAAACAGTTATACTCCATTCATCGAACAAAAAGGATGACCCATCGATGCTCGACAGTTCTCGTATGCGTAAAAAAGAAAGTGATCCATTCGATTTTGCGTGTAGATTGTGAAATGCATTGGGTTACCTAATCGATCGAAAAGAATTGACTAATTATAACTTAAGATATTGAATGAATGAAGCTGAATCATGATATGAGTCTTTACGCACTATATACTCACATAATGTCATGCTCAAGTTAACTAGTCAGTATGGAGATCTGTGGTCGTGTAAAATGAGCTCTGATTCTAATGCGGGATGTAGGTGAGCAAGAGTAGTTATAACCTCATTTCCTTTACTCAAACCAGTACACACAGTCGCACCTACACCCTCTGTAATTTTTTTTATCCTATTAGATAAACAGTACATATTTCTGCTTTTGTTGATCCGACCAACACTTGACGATGACCATTCTAATGCAAGCCAGATAATAGTTCTGCTCGCAATACTTTTATCTAGTATATGTTAGTGCCCGGCTTAGTGACCACATTAGGATTTATCTTAGTACCCATTGTTCTCATCAATCAATGCTTAACTATGATTGTATAGTCACGACCACGAGGCTTGTTTCGTGTGCGAACACGTCCTATTACTACAACATGATTAACAGATTAATTTCTTACTTATTCAATATTTTGTTGTGAAAGAAAAAAGTATTATTTAAAGCGAAAAAAAATGTATTCGATTTTATTAATCTAATTAAGTGCATTCCCATTGTTTTTCTACTTGCATAGTTGTCATGTCCTAATCTACTGTCAATTTTTTTTTCGTACTACACACTGATATGATAATCTTCTATGAGAGAATCGAACATAAAAATTATAAAATTCTATTTAGAAGATCTTTCGATTCAATTCAGAGATAGTAAATTGTTTTTACATCTTACTGATATTATTCGTGAAAAGTAAGTGACATCACTGGATGTTGAGAATAAACAAAAAACCAAATAACAAACCTGTTCGTTTGATATGAGAGAAAATAGAACAGTACTATTTCTGTTATGTTTTGTTTTGTTAACAGATCTACTGTATAGTTTATGATCAGCTAAACTACATTATAGTTATGTTCTTAATTGCGAAAGATTCGTCGTAATTTTAGCATGAATTGAGTATATATATAACAGAAATTGCTCACTTTTGGATCACCTAATATTTAATTGTAAAACATCTTATATGACTAAAAATCAAAATAGCCATGACTGTTCGTGGCTGACCGTTTCCAAAGGAAGGTCTATATTACAGTTGAAAACAAAGCGCAGTCTAGAATGGATGTTCGCAGTTTTTACTGATACCCGTTTACATTGACAGGCTTCATTGTAGACTAAGCATTTACTAATTAAACAATCGTGATATATAGAAAAATAACGAAATAGAAAAACAGTAATATTGAGTATAACATTTGTTTTTGTTCAAGAACATTGGGAATAAATCGGGTGAGCAAAAATGTCATTCAAAGTGTCACGAACAAGAGAGAAACGGCGCTCAGTAAGTGGTTTATCTGCAGCAGAAAAAAAGAGCGTTTTGTCTGAGCAAAATTAACTGGAATTGAGAAAAGGTAACGAGCCAATAATGCTAATTATGGAAATTTATGTTGATGACCTCTACAAAATTAGAATGGATTTGATTACATGAAAGTATCTTCAATATTCATTCTGAAATATTCATCTAATTCATTATATTTAAATTTTCCAGAGTTTCACTTCTCTAGCTAAAACTAATGCTGAAATATGTGAACAAGATTAAAATACATGATTTTTTATTTTATCATTAAATCTAAAACATTTCAGATTTGAATGTATTTCCTATATAATGGATGGCATATAATAAACGGGACAAACCGTTTTCCTCTTTTTAGAGTACTTTTCCAGATATTAGAAACTTTGTTCTACGCTCATTTGATAGAGAGCTTTCTGTTTTACCAAACTACTCTCGTTATTTTTCAAATGACGTTTTTCTATTGGCGCAAAATTTAACAACTGAACCCCTACTCAATCGTCTAACTGTAACGGTCAAGAAAAGGAAAACTTTTCATAACGACTTCGCTGATATTTCAAATATGCTGCCAAGCTCTCCAAAAACTTCTGTATCTCTTGATATATGTTTCAGAGTTTTAGAAGAAATATATGCGAGAAAAATTTTTGAAATAAAAAATGTGAAAAAAATCGGGAAAAACTTTTTCTCAAAGAATTACGCCATTATTCTTTTTTCATTCAACATAACTTAATGTTTCTGTCTTCAATTTAACAATCATAACATTTTATTCAGAATTAATATCTATATTCTTTATCTATTGATATCAGATACTTCAGCTTTAGCATCGATATTGATGAGCAAACAGCTTACTCAATTCGATAAATGTCTGCTGGAAATCACAAATCGCTGTTAAACGATTGAGTAAGTGTTCATTATTTAAGTTTTGCACCAATAAAAAAAAAGTTATTTGAAAAATGTAGACAGTAGCTTTGTAGAACAGGAAATTCTCTATCGAATGAGCCTAAAAACGAAACTTCTAATGTGTTGCAAAGTGTACTCCAAAAAAAAGTAAAACATTTTCCTTCGTTTATTATGCACCGCCCGTTGGTTAAAATAATTCTTAGCCTCTCTGTCAGGGTTGACTAGTTAGTAATAATATTACAAAAATCTAATACAACAATTTATCTATATTAATCTTGTTTATGCATTTCAGCATTAGTTTTAGTTAGAGAACTAGAATTTTGAAAAATTAAAAATCTTGATTAGATGTATATGTGAGAAAAATGTTTGCCTTGTATGCCGAGAAAAAGTATTAAAAAATGTTGTTGACAATTTTATCTTCAGTTACTTATGAAACATTCTTTATATGTTGTGAAAAATGCTTTATTGAATTGCAGCATAACATGTAAATAAGACAGAATAAATTTGTTTGTGCTCAGTATAAAACATGAGTGAGTAATGTAATTACTATGAAATGAATCTTTTTTTGTTTTAGATTAATATTTTTTGATAGTTTCAACATGTCACAATGACAAGACAAACGACAAGGATTAAAAACAAATGAACTATACGACGTAATGAATTTGAACATAATGCCAATAGTGAAGACTTTATCGTGGACAAGAATAGTAGAATTTCTTTTAATTTATCAAAGTTGAAACGATGGAAATTAATTGATGATGAAGAAAATCAATTGGCAATTCGAAAAATGATACCTATGGATATGCGTTCTAACTGCAACAGTAGTCTATATTGACACTTCGGATTTCTTGGTGGACATTTTCAAGATTTTGATCGAGCACGATCAAATCAACAGTCGATGCAAAAAGATGTTCAAGTAGAAAAACAAGAGACAGTAGATGTATGGATGGGTTTGTCATTTAAAAATTCTGAATATTCTCTAAAACGAGATTTATACAAGAACCACGATACATTCTGCAGAGGTTGTCTTCGATGCAATGGAGTAATACTTTTTTGTGAACGTGGTAAAAAATCCTTAGGAAAAACAAAATGCATGAAGGTCTATCGACATAAAGATTGGGAAGATTAATTCAATTTATAGTAATCAAATACTGTTATTTTTTATTTTTTATTCGAATATTAAATATATAGAAGATTTTTTTTTCGGTTTTATTCTATCATTCTACAATAAATATGATTCTTTTACAAGAATACATAATAACAATATTTGATTAAATGTACTTGAAGGATGTAGATTAGTTTCATCTAAACATTGACACATGAAGATATGTTTTGATCAAAAACTTTGACTATTAATTGAGAACTACTTTGGGCCGCTTGTATTAGGAAATTTTCAGTTTTTTTTGTAATAATTCCTAATTTTTTTCAGTAAATTTATAATAATCTTGGTTATGTAAGATATACTCAAAGCGGCTTATAAACCTGTATCTTTTGTGAAGACTATGCTGAGAATGCTGTCCTCTCTTCTACGTACATCCATCCTTTAAATCTTATAATATCAACTATGAAGATACTTCACTAATGAAAAGAAGCATGTTTGATTCGCCTGTTCTTTTGCAAAACATATAGTTATTATGGAAGAAGTTTTGTTGATACAGAATCAAGCAATTGACCACAATTTGATCACATTGAGTTTAATGTTTGATTTCAATGAAAGACACAACGTATGATAGGACTGGCTTCCACCTTCAGGTTTCGTCAAGTATATACATTGTAACTTTGGATCGCCATGATAATGATGTGCCCTCCATGACAATTCAATATCTCGGTTTTTACACAATATAATTATCATTCCAAGATGAAGATGATTCAAACCATTCGAACACACGACTAATAATTTGTATGAGATACAAATTTCCATAAATGATAGTTTTTGAATTTTCAGTTCAATGAAAAAGAATTATTTCTCAGACCAATCCACATTGACAGAAAAAAACTAAATTTTAACTGTATTACTTTTCATAACAAAGCAACGTCTTACCAGAAGATTATCAATTCATTTTGGGTATGAATATGGGTTAAAAAATGATCATTACCTGTACCCACACCCTACACTGATCATCAAACTGATGACGAGTTACATATTCTCGTGATCTGATCTATACGTACAAATATTGTTTTGTTCTTATTTTTCGTTCTTTTCAATCAAGTGGACATTATGTCGTTATCATCGAAAGCTGCAAAAGAAATGACTATTGGTTACTCTTGTTTGTGACCGTTTCTACGTGAGCATGAAGGAAAAGGTCATCGGCAAGTTTATTTTACTATTTAGAGTGGTATATTTTTTCTTTTTTTTTTTCTTTCTCGTGTATATACATATATATATATATATATACATTTCGTTGGTGAGGGTCATTATTTGCGTTCTCTCGGTAGATTGACATTCTTCGTTATGCCTACGAAACTAAGTAAAAAGATTCAAGGTCCAAGCCTTTATAAAACATTTATCGATGCTTATATGAAAGCTCGACCTAATGAAAAACGAGCTGTAAGTTCATTACTTAATTAAAACAAAACACAATTTCTTTTTGTGTTTTGAAATAGGACAAACATTATGATGCACAAGTTGAATGGAATGAAATAAAATGGAATGAAGAATATGTTAAAGAAAAAATTGAAGAATATTTAGAAAAATATAATCAATTCGAAGCACCTTCAAATCAAGATCTTGAACGTCCATCATCACCTCTTTCGTCAGCTCAACCAAAAAATAGTCGATCTCGACCAAAAAAAAAACCTAAAATTGATCAATCTAATGATACGACAAATGAAGATGATAAACAATCAAAGGGTGTTGATGATTTGGATGAAGATGATCTAGAAGATGAAGATGAGGATGAGGATGAGGATGAGGATGATGAAGAAAAGAAAAATAAAAATAAAAAAAAAGCTTATTTTATTAGAAAACGTAAGCCGATTGAAGAAGTAATATTCGAAGATGCAAAAGGATTACCAGCTGTATCTGGTGTTTCATTAGAACCATTAGCAAAGCAAAAAAGACAACCAGCACAAGACCGTGCTTTTAAAGAATTAAGTTCTATTAATGAACGTATTGCTTCATTAGTACAAGTTAGACAAATGGGTTTATCAACACCAGAAAATAGAAGACAATTAAAACAATTAATGAAAGAGAGAAGAAAAAAAGCTTACGAATTAAAACGTCTTCAATCAAAACAAAAAGCTTCAAATAAATATCGAATTAAACGAAGAAAAATTGTATGAACAATTCTTTTTTTTTTTCTTTCGTTTTAATTATTTTTTAGGTTGAACATTTATTTGAAACAAAACCTGAATTACATCCACAATTGAATAAACTTTATCGGCGTGGTGCTGGTCGACCACGAATTGAAGAACAATGTCCTGATTTATTACAAATTATTGAAGAAATTGCAAAAGTTGGTGGAGCAAGTGATGATCGAAGACGATCAGAAACTATTCGCCCTTGTTTAACATTAGATGATTTAAGAGAAAAAATTAAACAAAGAGGTTATGATATTAAACGAACAACACTTTATTATCGGTAAATTAACAAATTTATATAGAATAAGCATATCTTTCATTGATCATATCAAAATTTTCGTTTCAAATTGAATACCCAATAAAGAGATATTATAGTAACTAAACCGATCACAGTTTAGTAGAAAAACTATTTTGAAAGGCAATTATAACGTTTTGATCCACAAATGGAATATATGTAGATTAGTAGAGAAAGACTTCTTCTATCTATTGGTTTATGCATTATCAAGGTTTATTGTGTATTCTTGAAGTATCAATTTAAAGATTACCACCTGTCCTGTGACTACATCAGAATACGGTGAAGGTGGCGCTACCTATTGAAATATCAGCTTTTAGGGTCAAAAATAACCGTGACACTTATATTTATTGTTTATGAATATCCCGTGACAATTATTTTAAGTTGTACAGTGACGAAATTTTTCGTTATGTCGATTCTACTATTTGAATCTTTTATTCTTTTCACCTGAATAAAAACATAAGAATCACTTCTGCCTCATATTTGCAAATATGACAAACTCGATACAGTCTCAGTCTGAACGCTTACAACTGAATTGGATTGTTCTTTGCTTGAATAAAAGAAGATGGCACAGTATATTTGTAAACAAAAGAAATTATCTATCGAATGAATTTTTACTTTAGAAGAATATTCTTATTAATCTTTCTTACAAAGTTGAACAACAATTGAAAATATTTCTCGAGTAATTAGTTCTGTTCGAACATCAATTCTTAATGATCGAAATAGATATGAAAAAAAACGAAACTTTCTTTTTTCTTTATCCTGTCAATAATTGGTCTCACAAGTGAACACTTTTGAATTTGAACTCAGTACATAAAGACTAGAGTTTTTTGCTTCTGACACGGTATATCGCCCTGAGATTTTTAAGTCAAGCAAAGCAGAAAACTGTAGCATCTTCCGTGGAATATGAGAAATAGGCCCATATGTAGGAAATATATCAAATTGGAAAACTTATTCGATTTGTTGGTATATACCATGCCAAAGATAAAATTTCTAGTTTTTATGTACATAGTCTGAAATCAAAAAGCGACTGATCAGTTGAAAGCGTTTATTCATCAGACAAGTTTTTCCATCCTTACTAAAAAGAACAAACCATAAAAATTTTGAAAATTATATTCGAAATTCAAAATAAAATACTATCAATTCAGATTATGTTCTATTGAAGTTTGAATAGCATTGATATCTTTCATTCTTGAGATTATTTCTTCAAATTAAGAAACATCCGACCAAATTGATGATGAAAAATGAATATTAAAATTTTTCAGAATTTTTATTTCAATATGTTAGACAATGATTTTGGCCGCAGTTAGAATTCGATTGGACTAAAAATATTCAAAAAACAAAAGCTCAAATGTTGCAGGTTTTTTTATTTATGATCTCATAAATTTGAATTCAATGTTAAAATTTTCATACGCAAAAAGAAAAATACCTATCTACTATAGATGTACAACTGTTAGTTATTTTTTGACAGCTGTGTCTTTAGAGATTACATTATCTAATTTTAATACTCATTTGTTGATTTTATTCAAACAAATCATAATCAATGTTAACATCGCAGCATTTTGACAAACTACGTTGGGGATGTCCTTGTTTGAACAACTCTTTCGCTAGGATTGAGACAAATGCTGCGCTTCGTGTAATATTTAAATTCATCTCAGCTCTACGTTTTCGTATGAATTTGATTAGAAAATAAGTTAAGATTCAAACGAGCAGCCTACCATAGTAAAGATACTCATCAAGTGAGTATTCTTGTATGATTTTTGTGTACACCAACAGGCGAAGTTATTTTTAATACAATATTATACCATGGAAAAAGAATTGCATTAACTTCATTCATTTCTGTGATTTTATTAAAGTAAATAAAATCTTATTTTTATGATAACAAAATAAACAAATATTAAACTATCTCTGTCTCGTAAAGTAAGATTACATTAAAATACAGATTGAGAATAGTAAAAATATAGGAAAAGAAAAATAAAAAAAAAAATATTCTGTAAAACAGAAAAGTCTGATTACTACATACAAAAAACTCAAATAGATATTCAGATATCTTCATCATTTTTAAATCGCAATCGACATGTATCAAGAGTTCTTAGGTAGTTCCTTTTGTTTTATTGCGTTTATTATCTACATTTAGAAGATAAAATTTGAACGAATGTCTATTAACGCATATAAACAAGTATTCCATCTCGTCCGAGAAGTTAACAGGTTATAATGAAAAGTTGTCTTCCTATTTTTTTTCTTAAAGTCTTCCAAATTATATAAATAATTCGTCCCAAAAAGAATAAACTAGATAAATCATTAAAATAGTTTCTTGCTATTATCTGTTATAGTATTAATTTTTCTTTATTACATAACTTCAATCCATACTAGTAGTATATAGAAATGCATAAATATTTTGCTAAATATGCTGTGAAAAAACGAACATGAATACTATATTGTGTACTTATCATTTGAAGCTTTTTGGAAAAGGGTTTTCTT